GCGCAGGGTGGGTGGGCAGGTGCGTGGGTGGGCGGCCGACTTGTGCACGTATTGGAGGGCCAGGCACGACCGAAGGGTTGGAGGACCCCACGCTTTGTGGTGAAGAGAGTCGTGGCGGTGCGCCGTGTGCACTTGCAGCAACAGCCTCGACGCAGCCGCATTAGGGAGCCAGACCGAGGTGGCCGCCTCTAAACGCATCCCCGGGCTGCACCTGATGTCACCAGGCCGAGTCCTGCGCTTCATCGCTTGAATCAAACGATTTCCGGACGCGCAACACGCCCCCATCAAGGTGGTTCTGGGTGGGCTTGAGCGGCCCTCGGCCACCCCACCCAACAATCCAAACTCTCAACAGCGACTTCGCATCCCATGGACCCACCGTCGTATGCTGCATCAGCCGCTCTGGCATTCAAGGCCTGCATCTTTGCGGCGTGCATCTTGCCCTGCTGGCTGTAGTACTTGGCGCCCGCGTGGTCGCCGGCAGCGTACGCCGCGCGCGAGCGCTCAAACGCTGCGTTTCGCAGCCGCGCCTGCTCGCCGGCCCCGGCGCGCAGCTGCTGGGCTGTGGCGGGGCCGGCGTCCGCGGGGGTGTTGAGGATGTTGCCCATGATGTGTACCTCCTGCCGCTGCAGGTCCCTGTGCGGCGCGTTTGCCGCAAAGGGGCGTCGAAGTTGCTGCCTTCAGGCAGCAGCAGAGCACCCAGGGTACAGCTTCAACTGCCTTGCGCAAGCCAGGTCAGCACACGGCCTAGTAGGGTTCACATATGGGTATGATGCGATCAGATGTTGCGTTTGTGTTAGCTTGGTTGCGCGTACTATGCACAATGTCGTTTATCACTTGGCTCATTCGCTTGCTTGTGTTTTGAAATCGAAATCCTGTGCCAAAGGTGGATTTGGGCAAATGTGGTTCACTTAGTTGGATGAGCAGGTGGTGCTTCATAGAAGCGTGCACGATGGCAGGATCTGGTTGTGACTGGCTGAGTGACTGTGGGTTGAGTGACACCACCGTGGCAGCATGCGCACGCCGCGCAGAGGTACGCTTGTACCATTTGTATCCAGTGCTTGGCGTCTGACATGTGCAGTCTCTTGGCCCGCTTGGCCTGCTGGTCGGGGCCGCCAATGAGCACCGTGCCTGCCCCCCCAGGCCAAGACCGGAGGCGGCGCTTGCCAATCGGTCATCGGAAGCGACCCTGCGTGACTTTTGGCCGCAGCCACAGGTACGCGTCCACGCGTGCAAATCAAAACATCTCGAGGTTTGAGGCGCCAAGCACTCTTCATAAACCTCACTTGTGCACCCTGCTCCCCCACCGGCTCCGCTGCGCCCACGACTCTCACCCGACACCAGTGTGGGTTCCTGCACGCACACACCACTAGACCGCCATGACCGTACGCTTTGGCCAACGAGCTTAGCTTGGGAAGAGGAATCAGCATGTTGTGGGGATTAGCACGCAAACTGGTCACCAGCAGGTGCGGCAACGGGCTCGCCTGGACAGATTGGCTGTATCACACTGTGGGCGCCCCCTGCCAAGGTGCTGGTATGCACACTGGTTCCCGTTTCGTGTTTGCTCGATTTTGATCCCTGGTATAAAAGCACCCTCACCATGGTCTGCAGTATAGTACAATTTGCGCGCCAAGATAACGCAATCAGCCACCCTAACATGTCACCCCAGAACAGGGCCTCCATTCGGGGTCTTATGTCAGCGCAGCGCCGCTGCTGCAGCGCAGGCACGCCCCGTGGGAGGGATTCTCCTGCTAAGGCTCCAACAGACGTCCGGCCTTTGATGTGAACAGCGGGCCTCTTCGCGTCGCCACCTCGGCGCGCATGCGAAGTAGTAGAACAACACCGCCACCAACAACCACAACAACCAGCGATCGGGCATGCGGTTGCCTTTCTCGGCATTGCAGGGGTGACAGGCAACCTGGTAGTTGTTTGGGTGATCAGGGCCCCCCCTGGACCTGGGGATGACTGTGTGTGCACAGGGAGGCAATGGCGAGAGGATGGCGACACTTGTTAGCGCCCAAGGGTCAGCTGGGGGCGGGCACTGCACCTGCTGCAAAGGACAGGGCCCGGCAACTGCGACTTAAGGAAAACAGGACACGCTTGTCAGTCCTCGCAGGTGGCACCGGTGTGGGCCATTCACGCACTGCACCTGGTGTCCGCACAACACCCTAAACCCTGCTGGTCCCAGCAGAATGTGTACGTACTGTGGTCGACAGTGGCGGCGTCGCTGCCGAGGGTCTCGCTCCAGTGGTAGATCCGGAAAGGCATGTTGCCACAAATGTTGCACTGGAGGTAGCCCTTCACACGCTCCTGCCCACGCAGCCAGGCAGCGTGGAACTGCCCATAGCCCGTTTGTGGAGGGTAGGATCAGTACCGTTGTAAGCTGGGGTACAGTAGTGCTGGGCAGAAATTTCCGGGGGTGTGAAGATAGGGCAGTGCAGAGCTACTGTATCGCACAATGCCATATGGCACCAACACCCCGGGGCAACAGGTTGTTGCACCGATGCCTGATGAGCAACCGTGCAACGAACGCGGCACCGGGTGACAGGCCCCCAGGACACCGCATGTGATCGTGTCAAGGCTGTTGAACAACATTGAGCAGCCCGAGCCCCACCTGGTAGCGAATCCAGCGCGCCCGAGTCTCGGGCGAGTTGCCCCAGGGGCAGGGCTCCAGAACGAGCGGCACGCGGACGATGTTCCATTCTTTCATCGTGGCTGGTGAGGCGTGGGCCAGTAACTTCGGAGATGGAGCTGTTTTTAAGCTGGTAAACGGCGTCAACGTGTTTTGCAGCGCAGAGTCACTGGGGCTGGTCACGGACGAAGATGTCCGTGCCCACCACGGCTGAAATGACTGTACTGATGTACGGTACTGGTGCACGGGTGTCTTGTAGCTTTGGCGATTTCATAACACTTAAAATCCTCACTTACTTTGCACCAACCGTTCAGCGGCTTGGTTCCGCGCTCGTCCCGGGAGCACCCTCCCAGACGCCGCGCAAGCAACCTGGGTCACTCTGACATTTGCACGGCTAGTTCCTTTCAAGTGCTGTCTCGCTGCTATTTCTGCCGCGCGCTCACCAGGGTATGCATTTTTTTACGTATTGCGCAGCACGATCCCGCAATCTGCCAGCACCAACGCCGTCCCCCACCACGGTACGGGCCTCCATTCGGGCGGGGGGTCCTATGCCAGCGCAGCGGCGCTGCAGGCAAGCAAGGCTGGTGGCATCAATTCCCTCGCGCAGGCGCCCCCATCAGCAGGCTGGCCTGAAATCTGAACGGCTGGCCTCCTCACAGTCACCACCCAGCCGCCGCACTCCTAGTAGGGCATGCGGTTGCCTTTCGCGGCGTTGCAGGGGCGGCAGGCGACCTGGAAATTGCTGGGGTGATCAGCGCCCCCCCTGGACCTGGGGATGACTGTATGTGCACAGCAAGGCAAGGGCGACAGCAGGGCGATGTTTGTCAGCGCCCAAAGGATTTGCAGGGGCAGGGCAGGCACGAGCGGCACTTGCGGCAAACAGATCGGCATGGGCCCGGCATGTGCAAAACAAGAGCAGGACACAATGAGGGGCGGCACACATGTGCTGGCAGGTGGCGCCGTTCACGTTCCGCGCCAAGTGTCTACGCTGGCCCCTAAACCCCAATGAGCAGGGCTGGCCGGTCCAGCTGGTCCCAGCACGATCTGCACGCACTGTGGTCGACAGTGGCGGCGTCGTCGCCGAGGTTCTCGCTCCAGTGGTAGATCCGGAGACCCGCATAGCCGCAGATGTTGCACTGGAGGCGGCCCCTCACCCGCTCCTGCTCACGCAGCCAGGCATCAGTGATCTGCCCAATTGCGGAGGGATGGTTCAGCACCGCAGTAAGCTGGGTTAGCGCTGAGGCCGGTGAGCAGAGTTTTTGCGTGGGGTAATGAAAGGTCACTGCAGAGCTATCGCACAATGCGACCCCCAGCCGTACGGTACCAAAACCCCAGGGCCGACAGACTGTTGCACTGATGCCTGATCAACAGGCGACGGGCACGGAACCGGGTGACAGGCCCCCAGGACACCGCATGTGATCTTCAACAAGATGTTAGTCAAGCTGCAGCGGCCTGAGCCTCACCTGGTAGAGATTCCAGCGCGCCACAGTCTTGGCCGAGTTGCCCCAAGGGCAGGGCTGGCTCATTGTGGCTGGTGAGACGTGCGCCAGTGACTTCAGGAACGAAGCTGAGTCTGATTAACTTTGTATCTTTACCATTCTTCGAAGCGCAGAGTCACTGGGGCTGGTCACGGACGAACATGTCCGTGCCCGGCACGGCGAAGTTACTGTACTGTGCGCAGGTGTCTGGTAGTTTTGGTGATGTAGTGACACTCAGATCTGTCAGCCACTCTGACCTAATCGTTTAGCGGCTTGGCTGCACTGCATGTCGGGGATCCACCTGGGTGACGCCCGCGGCGTACCGTGCGGCAGCAAGGGTAACTGCAGTTGCAGGGCTAGCATTGCATGGATTATTAATGCAGCAGAAGGCGGAACACGTGCGGAGAGCATTGCTCAGCCAGTTGCATTGCGGCAGCCGCAGATGCCGTCATAGAACCCGCCCGCGCGGCTGTGCAACAACAGTGCGTTGCTCGCGGAGTTCTGCATAACAGTTTTGCCTCAGTTGCCCATGACCGGCCAGCTGCAAAGTTTCATACCTTGATGAAGACAAATTGCAAGTTGTGCTTGCCGAACATGTCCATTTGACAAACCTCTTTTTCGTTCCTGGTGTCTGCTTATGTACAATGTGGATTCTTTCCTAGTGTTTTGCGGGCAGCACATATGCTTTTGCAAGCCGTGTCACAAGTACAGGCATCATCTCAGCCATATGACAGACTGCATGCTCGTCTGCCGTGCCAACTGGACTTGATGGACTCAAAAACAACAATTCCTGCCCCTTTTCTGGGGCCAGGCCCCAGGCGGCGAGGCCCCGGGGCTTTCACATGTGTGAGGCACACGGGTACGTAATCGAGCAGCACGCTCACGCGGCAATGCACTTGACACACACTCTCGATCTGCATATAAAGTTACACCCTAGGGTTGAGTGCGCGAATGCAGTCTTGCCTTCAATGGGATTGCATCTGCACGTCCGCATGCAGTTAACATGATCAAGTGAAACCTATCCACCCAAGACGCAGCACTGAGGTGCACGTCAGGAGAAGCTGCAACCCCCTAAAAGTGCCATTCACTCAACACCGCCGCGACGCTGCAGCAAAGTAGGCACTCAAACTCGCACCACAAGCGGCCCCGATCCCAGAGGGATCTAAGAAGCCGCCAACCTCACTCGACCCTCTCGGCACAGACGTCCAGCGCCTTAGCCGCTCGCGCAGCGGCCGCAGCAGCACCCACACAACTGCCTCCCCACGCGGTACGATCCTGGCATCGGTCCCCACCGCTCCTAAGCATCCGTTGCCCCTGTCCTCTTGCCCTTCCAGACAACGCCTGAGGTGCCACGCACGGTCCCCTCCATATGGCCGGCGATTGGGCGCCCAATGTTGTTGATCACGTGAAGTACGTCGCCGGTGACGTCACCTGCTGCATGGCGTCCCACTCGTCCTCTGACAGCAGCGCCTTGAGCTCGTCCAGGGCATCCTGGGGG